TTATTTTCTTGTTTTATTAATTATTTTCTTTTTGTTTTCTTTTTTCGTTTTTTTACTAATTATTATTATTATTATTTTGGTGGAATGTAAGATACTGGGTCTTTTATCCGACCATTTTCGGTAATTTGAATTCAACAACACCTCACTTTAAGTTAATAGTCGTTGAAATTGCCAAGCTGTGCACCAGGATTTTGTCTATTTTTTTCGTTGGTTACACGACGTTTGTCTTTAATTAACAGCAGAACTGCATACAGTATTTCCTGACCATAACAATGCTAACAATTTATAGAAAAATGATCGTCATATTCAACAAAAAAAAACAATTCCTTATTTGTAGTTCCAATGAATTTTTTTTTCACAAAACTTTAATTCCTGACAACTACGTGCGTACGTACATGCATTCTAGTGCTTACATATTAAAATTTCTTTGTAAGCATTACAATGCAATTGGAATATTATTATATTAAATGATCATCGATATCAGTTAATTTACTGTTATTCTTTGATCCTTTCAAGTTAGGCTTACTTTAAGCAGGCTTTAGTGTAGTATAGATCAAGTCGATTGTGCCGTATTACAGCTTAAGCTGTGATTCTATATTTATACTTACATTACATATCGATACTATTTACATTAATAGCATGACTAATTTTATCTACGTATTATATAAAACATATATAGAATTTTATGACTATTGGGAACCACCACTTGAGCAATGACTGGCATAGGTAACAACTTAAGCCGTGGTTCAAACCGTGATTCCAATATCAATGGCACAGGTTTGTGCCATGATTTTTAAGAACTATCTAAGCCAAAAGCAACACTATTTCATGTATGTTGATATTAATTCTGACTCAGCTGGTTAGAGCTTAAGAATTATTTGATAATTAGTCTGAGAATTTTTCTGAAATTTAATTTTTAATTTAAATAAGAAACTTTACTTGTGGATCATATGGATTTAGTTACGTATATAAGATATTTATATGCAAATTCACCAAATTCATTTGCGGAATACATTTCAGATTTTAGTTGCGGAACTTATAAATCATTTGCGGTCCGCAAGAACCGCAACCTAATTTCAGACACTGGCTTTATGCTTTGTAAAAACAACGTTCATAGCTCAATAATTCACATATAAAATAGTCTTTCACGTCTTCTTAACAGAAAAAATTCCTCGTAAAATTTACTTCATTTTTTTTACTAATACGAACGGAAATATTTAACTAATATCCTATTGCTATAAGTAATACAGGTATGTTGTATGGTACTTTGAGTTATATACAATATACCGATGATTTATGAAGATAAGAAGTAACTCAATGGTCTACTCACCCGAAAATTATCATATAAAGTTGTAAGCCAGTAATCAAGTAGTTAAAAATGTTGATAAATTCAAATAAATAAAGTATTTAAAAATGTTGACAAACTCAAATAAACTAAATAAATTAAATAAATCAATTCCATGAAATTATCAAAAAAGAAGATATCGCTTTCGATTAGAGTCCAAGACTGCCCATAAACACCATAGGTGTACGTGTATATCATGTAACGTGATGTGCATATGTATGTATATGCGTGGAGAGAGAACACCACTATAATTGCCTGTTTAGAACTTAAATTATTGAAACATTACGCATGATAAGTTTTACAATGGTGTAAATTTTTCAGAAAGGGATTACTGTTCGATGAATTTGGACAATAGTCAATATAAACCAGTTTTAAGAAACTGCGTATGTTTTTTTAAGAATAATAACAAGTATTCTCACTAATTAATCAAAACAAAAAAAAAAACTTTGTTAAAAGATTGTTCCAGCATTTAATTATTTTCGACTCTTATAAAGTCTTAAACCAATCATCTATCATTTTGTATTATGGCAAAGTGAAGTATGATTCGAATTGTGCATTGTTTTTTTTAGTATGCATAGTTATAAATTTTAAGTTTTTATTAATAAAATGTTGATTGGTGGAGTTAACGATAATTTAAACATATATTAACTAATTAGTTATAGTGTAAAATGCAAATTAATATAAAAGTTTATTACTTTGTTGAATCGATTATTATTATTCCAACCAATGGAAAAACCTTTACTATTTAACAGGTCCGAAAAAATGATATGTAACAGCATCAATGAAAAATTCGTTGCTAACTAAAACTCACCAATAACAAAAAACTAAATCAAATCTAGAAACTAACAATTTTGTAACGGTAAGTAGAACTTCAATTTGGATATTTATTAAATTCATTATTATTATTTAAATTTTTTTTTTTTTTTTTTTGACAGTGTATGCGTATGCACAATTTTAGGATTTTAAGGATTGCATGTTAGTTACCTAGTAGCATTAATAACACCAATGGTTTGGTTTATTACGCAGTATGTATCTATTGTATGTAAATTCTACATACTTATTTATATACATACTTATTTTATATACATATTTATATACTTACATATATGGTGGTCGGCTAAAGTGGAGCTGGTTTTAGAGTTACCTTTTTGATGTTGTTAGGTTAGTGGGGTTATATAGAATATCAAAAATGTAATTTATGCAGTATGTAGATCATATCTTGAATTATATCACATTTTTGGGATAATTGAGTGTTTTGATTGGTTAAAGGTAACAAGTGACTATAGGGTAATCTTGGCCCTAGCCTCATGTAAGCAAATCGACTTTCATTTATAATTGAAAAATGTAGTCATGTCAAATTTTACATGAATCTAATAAAAGCTCATTTTTTCGAAAATTTGTAAAAATGGGCCCTTTTTAATACAGAACACCCCATATATACTTGCATACATATATATACGTATATAGTTACGTGTACGCATCGATAGACGTATATACCTTATATATTATCTTTATACCAAAAAAATAAGTGAATGAACATTTACGTCAGCTCATTACATACGGGTAATTTTAAATAAAGTCCGAGAATGCTAAGGCGTAAAATGCATATCCTACTTACAATTAGTTATTCTTTAACAAATTTAGAATTTTTAGGTTTATACTTAGTGGTGTATACATATGCATTAATCTGTTTTACATATCTAAAAACCAGGGGTGCTTAATAGTTATAGGTTTTCTAAATTTCCGAATATTTCGAAACTTTCGAAATTTTCGAAATTCTCGATGCAAAGTTATGCATAGCAAAATACCCCAGTACATACGTATATCCTATATATTAAAACTATAAGCATATAGTGGTACCTTATGTAATCTATCAATTTATTACGTATCGTTATGGAAATATATCTGACTAAAAGATCTGCAATAGTAACTCAGATTACATCACTTTGTTTATAAAATTCAATCCATACCCTCCAGGTGAAGAATTCGACTGGAAGATTTTACATTTATTTGGTCATACTGTTGAAAAAAACTTGTTTTTATTATAAAGACATGCTCCTTGTTTATTCGATATTATTCGATATTTTTATTCGATATGTTTATTCGATATTTTTATTCGATATGTTTATTCGATATGTTTATTCGATATGTTTATTCGATATGTTTATTCTATATGTTTATTCGATATCATTCGATATTATATATTAGACCCTTTTATAATTTTAATATGTTTCATTAACATTACCCCACATTTAAAAAAAAAAATAATAATTCAGTAAAATATGTAACAAAAAAAAATTAAAAATAAATAAATAAATATGTAAACTTATCAAATTACTTTAGTCTTTGTCTCAATAATTTTGTCGCCATTTAAAATCTTAACTTTAATAGAATGATCGCCGCAAAACCGAGTTTTTTGATAGTGACAGTAAATCTAAATTAATTTCATTTATACTAAATTTATCAATAATAGATTTAACTTAATAAATAATCAATCGAAAATTAAATCGAAAAATTATGTGTGTAGATTAATTCCATGAATACATTTTTATGCTCCACATACTTTCGATTAATATCAAGTTCGGTAGAGACCATCACGGTTTATGCCGTAACTGCATAAGGATAAGGTTATAATTTTTGGCGTACCTATACGTACGGCACCTCTGAATTAATAATTTGTAGCGGTCAGTAATAATTTTTACCCATTAATATCAATAACTGATAATCTCTAATTATTATTATAATATATGACCTTAATCTCTAATACGTATTACGTATTAATAATATATACCTAATTTCGATATATATGCATAACTAATATTACAGGGGGTGAATTTTAAAAAGTGATCACAAATGGGTTCCTTCGTTATCCTCCAAATTTGGGTAACAGGGAAAAAATTCGCGATATATTGCACCAGATCGACATATAACTGATTCTTATTGGACATGAACTTTCTTTATTATCTTTAAATAGTATTCTATATATTATCTCATTTAATTTTTCTTGAATGTGTTGCTTAGTAACGATAAGAATGCTTATTTATCGCTTTGTTCAATTAAGTCATCACAAATTACAACATTAGCCACGTTTCCTACCATAATTAAAGTTTTTCATTATTAACTTACTCCATTATTAAATGTACTCAGTTACATAAAATTTTTATCGATTTAAATTCATAAATCTGTTCTTTGTTCCCTATTTCTTCAATTTTAACATTGTATAACATATTTTGCAGCTGTATAGTAAATTAAAAACGGCAATTTCGTTGTTAGATAGAACGTTGTAAAAAAATATATATATATATGTGTTCTTATTATTATATCTCGTGTTTCCATGTAATCTTTATATAAAATCCTATGTTTTTTCTTTTCTGAAAATCATCCTTCCTTTCAACTTCCTCAATATAGATTTATTCAAAAAATTAAAATTGTTGCAATTTTATTTTATTTCATTTAGGAAGGTACTATCTGGATACAATTACTTTCGTTGATCGAACACATTCATAAATTAAACATAGATCATAGACTCATAAAATTTTTCATACACTATATTAGCATTTTATTAGCAATTGTAATTCATACACTCTTACAACGCCTTAATACTGTATAAAACATTATTATAATTTATATTTAAAAAAAAAAAATACATGCAAAAATGGGTAAATCAAATTCAAAATCTATTCATTCCTCTCCTTCCCTAACTTCCGTATCATCGGTAACATCAATTCCAAGACTTCTTAGAACACATCGACAAAAATCTTCTTCTAGTTCTACTCTCACTTATTTTTCTTCAAGTTCTTCAACCCATTTATCTTTAAATTCACCAAATTCTTTAAATTCTCATCTTGACATTATGTCTCATTATCCTTCTTCATTACATGAGAATATTATCAATTCAAATGATTTTGATACTTTTCAATATATTGGAAATAGAAAGTATTGTAGGAGTGGAATTGAGGATGTGAACTATGTGTATCCAGTCGATGATGATGAAGTTGATCGGTGTCAAATGCAACATTTTTTAATGAAACATATTTGGGAAGGTAATTTTTCGGCACCTGTTGAAGATCTTTTATCCAGTTATGATACTAAAGTCCTTGATATTGGGTAAGTTTCTTTTATCATGTGATTTCGGTATTTCCCTATTTTGTGTTCATTCGTAACTGCATCTAATCTAATTATCAAACTCTTTTCCCTAAATTAATTAATTAATTAATAAATAAATATGTATCTATCTATACATTCTCATATACTCCCATATACATACTATTCAATATACGTACATGCAATTCAATATATACATACATATTATATATTTATTAGTTGTGGTTCCGGAGCTTGGATTTTAGAAATGGCCACAGAACATCAACGTCCTCAATTCGTAGGAGTAGATATTGCTCCACTTTACCCTTCAGAAATTCATCCAACCAATGTAAAATTCCGTCAAGCAAATGTTCTTAGTGGTTTACCATTTGAAGATGAAACTTTTGATTTTGTTTATATGAGATTCATGACTTTTGCTTTTACTATTAATGATTGGGAACGTGCTTTAAAAGAAATTTCAAGAGTTACAAAAAAAGGTGGTTATATTGAATTAATGGAAACTGATTTTAAATGGTATAATGAAGGTCCTTTCAAAAAATCTTCAAGTATGTTTACATTTATTTCATTCAATTTTGTCAATCAATCAATTACTTATTTGTCAGAAATTATGAGTTTTTACAATTATTAACATTTTATTACTATTATTATTTTAACAATAGTTGGTGATTTCTTACGTACTCAAAAAAATATGGATGTCGTTACATCTCCTCTTATCACAAAACTTCTTACTAAACTCTGCTCCTCAGAAATAAATCACAACGAACGAAAAATAGCAATTGGCGAATGGGGTGGCAAACTAGGAAAATTATATCGAGAATTATATGGTTGGGGTTCTAGAAATCTTAGAAAAGTTATATCCGATATCGGAGTTAACGAAAAAGGATGGGATGAAACTGTTGAAACTTGTTTAAACCGGTTAAATGAACGACAGGCTTATGATATGATTCATAGATTTTGGATCGTAAAACCTTCTGGGAATGAAGATGAATAAAAATAGATTTTCATCTTGACGACAAGGCTTATGATAGGATTCATAGACTTTGGATCGTAAAACCTTTCTGGAAATGATGAATAAAAATAGATTTTCATCTGAATTCTACCCTACCAATGATCATTTCCTATTCCTAAATATACGTCGCTGCATTTCTTTTGTACATTATTTTATAGATACATACATATATACATTCATTCATTTTTATACATTTCATACAAGCATATCTACCCTATCCTCCGAAGTACATATTCCTTCTTATCCTTTTTAAAAAGAATCGTTATAAAAAAAAAACAAAATACATACAACTCCTTTTTTTCCTTCATACTACATACATTCTTTTATATACATTCTTTTACATATATATACGAAAAAAAAAGAAAAAAAACCCCTCACTTTCATTTGTTCATAGCTGCATTCAACTCATTTTTAGAATTATTTAAAATATTTTCTTTGTAATGATCTTTGTTTGTAAACGTTTTGTTTTTTTCTATACATATATATATACGGTAGAAAATTTTATATACATTCACATATTAAGGTTTTTTTTTGTTTTTGTACATACTTATGTAATTTTTTTTTTAATTTTCTACCATATATTTATTATTTTCACTATATATTTTTTTCCACTCCTTCAAAATTATCACTTGATAATTACGTTTCATTATATAGACTTAATAAAAAAAAAAGTTCTATATATTTATCATTCATGAATTGAAAATTAAGAAAATCTAATAAATGTCGTTCACAAAATTTATATATATATATATTTATTTTTTTATATTTATTTATTTCTTTATTTATTTACTGTGATTATTGTTGTCTTTCTCAATAATTGGAGAAGATAGTATGATGGCTTTGGTCATATAACTTGTAAGTTTTATTGAATGAATGAACAAAGTCCTTCCTATTAAACTAAATTAGTCCTAGAACTTAAAACTTTTGTCATAAAACCAATGATCAATCATATATGCGTACGTATGTTTTGAAAGGCAAACCTGATTTTAGTACAAAACTAAATTTAATGATAATTATCTAATATTAGAATTTTTTAACTGCTTAAATGTGACAAAGTTTCATTTGAGGTGTAAAATTTATATGATTCGAGAATTAGGGTTATGGTAATCGTTTTTAAAAAACTTTTTTTTTTGGAAAACCCGATTTTTGTAGAATTGTTATTACGGTTTTCAAAAAGGTGTCACCCAACAACTTTCATGATAAAGTTAATTGGAAATTTTAATTAGATTCTAAATAGCAGTTTACAGGTCATCGTGTAACGGGAAATTGGATTCTAAGAGTATTATACAAATTTCCAAATACATATGAGTGCTGCCAAGGGAAAACCTGTCATCGGACATTCAATTATATCGTGTATAATTAGCCGTCTGTAGAAAATCTATCATCATGATAGATTTCCCATAGACGGCTAATTGTACACAAAATATAATTAAATATCCGATGACAGGTTTTCCCTTGCCAGCACTCATATAAATATCACCGATCTAATATACTAGGAAAACAGAAACTGTTGTAAGTCGGTGCAAAAAATTTATTACAATCAATTTAGTAATTATTACTATTTAAAGTAGATATCAGATATTGTAACAGCCAATCAAACGTATTGATTTTATATATTAATTAATCACGTGGTCGGACAGACGAACAAACTCTACAGCATACACGTGGTTTGCTGCACAGCAAAATGGCCAGCATTAAACTAATCGACACAGCATAGCCGTTAGAATTGGTGTATACGGAATTAGTCACGTGTATGCTGTGTCACTAAGGCCACTCCAAATTAATTTTCTGTTAACAGAGTGAAGAGAGAAGTATAAAAAAAACAAATTAAATAAAACTACAGTAATTCTATTGGTTGTAAAAAATGTAAAAATTTAAAAACTAATACTGCAATTTGATTGGTCAAAATGATAAAAAATTGAGAGAGGGGTTATGTTAAACAGAAAATTAAATTGATCTGGCCGTAGATTGGTTTTCAAAAATTGATTAAATTTTGGTCAAATTTGCAGATTATTTGGCCTAATGAAGATAATTTTAAAACTCATCTCTGTTAGGCCAAATGATTTGCAAATTTGATTGAAATCTTTGGAGTTCAATTAATATAAATCTAAAAATCGGTCATATGTGGTCTCTAGTATATATAACAACCATATGATTTATGTATTTCTGAAAAATAAAATAGTTAAACAAATTTGCTAAATATATGTTATTATGTGGTTTGGATTTGATTATAAACAATTTAATTTTAATTACTAATCAGAAAATGTTTTTAGCATATTTATGAATTGTTATTAAATAATAAAAGTTTTTTTAAAAAAAAAAATTTTAATAAATAAAATAAATCATTTAAAATTTTATTGTTTATACAGTTTTTTTTAATTTTTTTATATTTATTTTTATTTTTATATTAAATTAATAAGTTAATAATTGCAAAAAGATTATAATAAAAGGTGTGACAACCTAGTGAAGTAGTTAGGTTATTAACCTTTTAGGTAATAGGTTGGGTGTTTAAGTTTCATCAATAGCAAAAAATTTGGATAATCATCTATATAATATTTATATTACAGCAATGGTTACTAATAATTGAGTTAAGATACTTGTAATAGCAGTTAAATCAACATAACTGACAGGTTATAAGGTATCTATATAAGTTTGGCATTGTACAAAGAAATGCAAACTAACAATTAGACAGTACAAACACTAGATAAGTCTTTGTAATTATATAAATTCATTAAAATTAAATAACAAAAAGTCTATTTAGAAAGATCTAAATAGAGAAATAATCAGATCTTTAACAGTTCAACTATAAAAGTTAACCTTATAAAACAGATACTAATGTCAAACTAGCTAAACAAGCAAAAACTTTTGAATAGAAGATACTACCAATTAGACTACTAGAATGAATTAAAAAAAAAATATTAAACTAATTTGATATATCAATAGACTGGTTATAGTCTATTGGACTATCTGAATTAGAAATCTAGTGAACAAGCAGAGGTATACTAAAGTATTTTGAATATGTTGTGAAATAAATACTGAAATTTGTATAAACTTTACAAAAATATAATAGTTTAATAATTAAGTTCTAATTGCAAGTATTGATTCTGCTATAACAATACTAGATTAGCTATAAAAATAAATACAAAAGACTCTAAAAGGTTTATCTCAAGAATAAAATAGTTCTAAAGTTGAAACAATAATCTAGGTATCTGAATATAACCCAGTAATGTTAATACAGATTGTAGATTTAGAGGATTTAAAATAGAATATTTAAACAAGAATATTAGATATAATAATTGATAAAAAATCTTTAGATAAACTTTTTAATTGCTAATCCATCTATAATTGGCACTGTTTCCATATTAAAAATTGGGGTAAATTTATTATTAAATTTACTATAAAGTGGAATCTGAGATCTTTGCTAAGATAAGTAATTTTTTATTAATTAAATATTACTTTAGCTTCTAATAAAAGTTGTAAAGAATACTTTTGTGATTCTAATAGTAGTAAAATTATTAAAATCGACCTATTATGTTACGAAATATCATCAAAAAAACTTTTCCTGATTATATAAAATTTCTATGTAAACAACAATATTGTTTATAGAAGTTTTATATGAATAAAAAAAGGTTTTTGATGATATCTCATGATATAATAGGTCAATTTTAACGATTTTACTACCATTAGAATCACAAAAGTATGCTCTACAACTTTTATTAGACACTAAAGTAATATTTAATTAATAAAAAAATATTTATCTTAGCAAAGATCTCAGATTCTACTTTATAATAAATTTAATAGTAAATTTACCTCAATTCCTAATATGGAAATAATACCAAACAGTGCCGATTATAGACAGATTAGCAATTAAATAGATAATATAGAAAAATTATATATATAGCCAATTGTATGCTCTTTTGTAATAGTTTATAAAATCACATTACTAAAAAAAGTTATTAATAAAAATCAAAAGATCAAAAAGGTTACCTTAATATTAA